TACCTGCAAATTATGTTGGATTAAATGTTCCATCTTAGGCACTAATCATTCATTTAATCTTTTGCTCTGATGTGTCTAATTTATATTGAGGGCATATAGCTTGAGGCCTGTTCATGCATATGTCTGTATGCATGCATGTATGATGTATGCATGCATGTATGTATAGCCCAAAACTTTTTGTATGCAGTTTCTCTCCCCTTTTGCCATGAAATGTGTAGAAACATAAACATCAGGTTAACTTGTGCATGTGATTCTGTTCATACAGTTTAATAGAGTTATGTCCCATTTTGTTCAAGTTAAGAGGATATGGTGTGTTTGACATTTTTTGTGTGGTTTCACACCTATTGATTATATCCCCTGAATCTTGGCTGGCAATCTTGACATGAGGCGAATGTGATTTTTGTTCATTTAGTATTGCTTGGTGTTTTCCCCATGAATTGTATCCCATTTTGGTCTTAAGTGAGTTTATTATGCATGATGATCATTTTGTGTTCAGCTAGCACCACAGCTTTTGATAAAATTACATTGATACTTGGCAGACATTATGGATACTGTGTGAACAAGTGCATGAGGTCCTGTTGTCATGATGATATGTCTTGTTCCAGAGTTATACTTCAAATGTTGAATGTACCTAGTTTAGTTGCATTTAGTAGAATGTCCAGAAACTTGGATAAGTTTTCAGACTTACGTCCTATGTGCTTTTAATGTATATGGTGATTTTTCTTTAACCGTATTAGTCCAACACCTCTTTGATAAACTGCACTGAAACTTAGCAGACATTATTGAAATCCGGTGAATATGTGCTTGTGGCTCTAATGGTACTCTGTCTAGTGTTATGAGATTTCTATTGAATTAGATGGTATATGTGATACTTTGTGTGTGTGTGTGTGTGTGTGTGTGTGTGTGTGTGTGTGTGTGTGTGTACAACTCACACAGGTTTTACTGAATTGCTGTGCAACTTAACATGTTTTTGACATCTGGTTATTGTGTACATATGTATATATATTCTATTGTGTTTTATTCTGTAGTGTTGTTTTGCGTATTTGAGGAGTTGTCTTAGATATGGTGGTAGAGTGTTGAATTCATAATCCAGGAATCATAGGTTCGATGCCTGCCCAGACAGGCAGTTAGCTGCATCATGTTGTTCTTAGCAAAGTCACTTAGCTCCAGTTGATTGGCATGCTATAAGCAATAATGTTTGGAAATTGAAAAACCCACAAAGCAGCATCTTTTCCACAGTTATACATGTAAATATTCTTGCCAATTGTTGATGGGGCATAACTATGTAAAGTATGGTTCAAGTCGGGTTATTATTAGACTCATTTTAATGCATGAGAAGATGAAGTGTTATATTGAATTTGCTTGAAATCGATTAAAGTGTTCTGCAATGTGCACAAGTAGTTTTGGTGTATGCTTAAGTTGATATGGGGAAATAGCTCCAAACAATCATACTATATATGCTTAGCACTGAACTCTTACAACCGCTTGTTAAAATAATGCTTCACAGCATCTTTTCACTTTTTAGTTTATTTCTACAAAGTAGAGAAGCGCTTTTGTCCTATTCCCATGCTGGTTTCAGTGTCCACTTGTGCATAATATAAAAGCATATACAAATGCACTGCCTCAGTGAATTAATCATTCTTTTTTCCTTTGTTCTGATCAGTAGTTTGTAGTGGCTTTCATAGCCCTAGCCACTGAAGAGGGATCTAGCTTAAATCAATAAGAATATCAAACAGATTTTACTCTCTTTGACAACCATGACTTGTACAGAATTAGTCTGTGATTAATCATAATTTATTCTACACCAGATATAGTGATCGGTCTGAATTTTTTGATTGTCCAAAAATCTGCCCTTGCTTACAATACATCCTTTAGAAACAAAGTTTTTATCTTTTTTGATAATTTCAATATTTTTTGGAAATAATTTATTGAAGAAATGTGCAATGTATTAAATATTTTGCAATCAGAACGATTAATCAAGAGACTCATTACCCACTATATTTTGAGAGATTTTATAAAAGATGATATATGCCGTTCATATGCAGCCATGTTTATAACTTATTATGTATTATTACTCTGCTCAATTTACCAGGACTTTGTTCCACATAAAATTACACTTTTTTTTCGTTCTAGGAATCGCTTTGCATTTGGCACCATTAAGAATGAATGTGTAAAATTAAATAAATATGTTGATTTTAGAAAAAATTATCCTACATTGTGTTAATTTTCTTCAATTGCAGTTCTCTTTAAAGTATTTGTATATCATGAATTTATTCTACAATCGGTAAGAAAATAGCTCCTAATAAAAAGATTTTATTAAAAGCCAAATTGTTGTCCGGAAATTATTTAATGACTTGATTATTTTCATTCATTTTTTAATCACCTTTAGTCCCAACATTGAAGTGGGAAAATAATTTTTCTTGAGATACACATTAAGAGGTCACTGATCCATTTTGTACAAAAGATGTTTTGTCTATATAATGTGCCAGTTTCTTTTCTCATATCCAAGTATGCATTTGACATTCATATCGTTGCCCTTTGACAATCCATTTTTCTCCCTTAAAGCTTTCCAAAACAAATTTATAGAATTCGTTCGTGAATCAATCAGTTCGTGGAATTTTGCTTCTGTATTTGAGGCGTTCAGAAGTTTCCACAAAAGTTATTCACCTATAACAATAATTTATCTCGAGTCAATTTAGGAACCTGATATTATCTAAATATTTCGTCTCGTTTTAGTTGGCTTCCATTATTATCATGTCTACTAATTAATTTATCATTGAACTTCATTCTATAAATTTGAAATAATTAGTGATTACTTTGATTTGTCTGTCACTTTTATTTTTATTTTGATCATATATAACAAAGAGTTAAGCCAGCAAGCTTTGTAAATTTTAACAAAAATAATTATTAACTTACAAAACACTGTAAAAATATGAAAAAAGGACTTGGAGTTTGTGAATATAATCCAAAAAACCAAATCCTAAAATTCCAACACACATGTCATATCACTAAAAATGTCCTATACAAATCCAAGTTCGAATCCCGGCGAAGATCAAAAATGGGTGACGATGACGTCAGACGAATTAAGTATTAATGTCAAATGTCCCACGTTGAATTTTATGAATCACAAAAGAATATTTTGGCTTTAGCACTCATTTCCACTGAAAGTCTATCTAAAACTTTGATGACGAAACTCTTATTTTCCAGATAACACAAATTACTCAAAGTTGGCAACAACAAAAATACTTCTGATCTCTTGAAGGTACTTTTACGACTCAATCAAAGTCAATTAAAACGTTAGTCTTAAACACAATTTTAGGTCACTTGCTACAAGCCGCTTAACACTTGCACCCAAATGTTGATGACGCGAGTAATGTATATATGACCTTGATACTGACCAATCATTTAAACTTCAGATTTACAACGTGTCTAAATGATGTCAGCTAAAATTAATGCTTGTGACATACTTTAAAATTCTGTGCAAACAGAACGTACTCTAATAAATAAAAAATAAAGAATCCCGTGAAAATAATCGCTAGAATAAAATGTAATGAAACAATAAAATTTAAAAAAAAATAAAACTAACACACAGGCAATTTAATACCTATACTTAACACTAGAAACATTTTATCGTTTTATTCTACCTTTAACCAACTTTTGATTGTACTGTCCCTTTTTTATTTTTCGTCAACCTGGACTTTCAAATATATTCAAGCTGGAACTTGTTTTTTTTTTAATACATTTTGCGAATGTTCAGTTTTCTTTAATAATTTCTTTTCTCTCCCTCCCCCATTTTTTTTAGAAGAAAGAACGTTCTGTTACGAGGGCATGATTTTCTAATAAAATGTGTAATATACATTATTATTATTATTATTATTATTATTATTATTATTATTATTATTATTATTATTATTATTATTATTATTATTATTATTTTTATTATTATTATTATTATTAATTTATATTATTTAATTATGATTATTTTCTTATCACTTTTGAGTCATTGTTCAGTGGATATATAATGCAGCATATGTTACAGCGTTAAACTAAGATCCATCATCTATTTATATGAATTACATAGCAAATTGCTGTAGAATCTGTATTTTCGATAATGCTTGTTAATAGCCATATTTTGTTGACCTCATCTTCCACATCAAGAGCATTTCTACTTCCGACCGCTCCAGTGGCCTAGTGATTAGAACTTCCGTCTCGGATGCTGGAGGTCGCGGGTTCAAACCCAGGCCGAGTCATGCCAAAGTCTTATAAAAATTATACTGGCAGCTGTCTCGCTTGGCGCTCAGAATTAAGAGGTTAGTGCTAGGACTGGTTGGCCTGGTATCAGGATAATGTGACCGGGTGGGACATACATAATGCTACATGTCTGCGTCATGATACCCCAGTGCTAGACATCACTATAAACTACCACACTGCAGACATCATAGCTATATGACTGAAAAGTTGTTAAAGCTAGAATAAAAATCCAAATCACACACGCACACATTTTTCTATTACCATTGCTATCCCTGAAGCTTGAAAGTTGTTGTTGTGGGGTTTAAGGCCATTTTTTAGCACACGATAGCTATACAAGGCGGTGGAGGAAGAAACTGGGAAATCCCGGAAAGAACCGCCGTCCCACGAGAAGCTACTGGCAAGTTTTCGCACATATCCATTTTCGCCGAATCCTAGACTTGAACCCACGCAGACAGGTGAGATGGCAGTGATCCGTAACGAAAAGAGCTTTAGACCACTCGGTCACTCGGGGCCCCTCTTCTTGGAAGTAAAAAGAATCTACATTGTTTGCAGAATGTTGTTGGGTTTAATGCCATTTGCAGCACACGATAGGCTATACATGGTGGCCAGTATTAATGGTGGAAAAGAAACCGGAAAATCACGGGAAAGAACCACCGACCCACGAGAAGCTACTGTGTGCAAAATGTATCGACACACAACGAAATCTACTTTTACCAGAGCTAAGATAACATTGATACTCCAACCGCTCTGGTGGCATAGTGGTTAGAGCGTCCGCCTCGGATGCGGGAGGTTGTGGGTTCAATACGCGTTAGAATCATACCAAATACTTACAAAAATGGTACTAACAGCTGCCTCGCTTGACACTCAGCATTAAGAGGTACTGTTAGGACTGGTCGGCCTGGTGTGAGGATAATGTGACTAGGTGGGACATCATGCTACATGTCTGCGGCACGATGCCCCAGTGCTAGATATCACTATAAACTGCCTCTGCAAACATCGTAGCGATATGACTGAAAAATTGTTAAAGCTACTTTAAAAATCAAAATCACATCACATTAATGCTCCTTCGGTGTAAATACAGGGTTTTATTGGCCCTTTGAAACGGGTATCTTACAAACAATATAAAAAAACGTCTTTATTGTACGCACTCAAAAGCATCTTTTTGTATTTTGACACTTTCAAAGTCCCGTTGTTTTTAAGGACGAAACATTAAAAAATATCTATATAAAAAAATAAAAGAATTGTATATTATGGAGACTGGGAAGTTACATTCCGTGAAGGTTTCACTGAATGACCAGAGAAGGGCATTAAGTTAAAATATATGAATATAATAAAGCAGTAATAATTCAAGTGGTGGGTATATATATATATATATATAAAAAGAGACGATGTAAACTTATTGTTTGTAAATTGAAAAATAATGAGTTTTGAGTAATCTATTGATTAATTCATCTGAATAGTAAAGGTAAAATTTTAATATTTTATGAAATGTTGATCGTCTCGGGAGGAGCTACCTAATATATCAAATTATAACGTCTGTAAATATGCTTCCTTTTGTGTACTCGTTATATACGCGTTCTCTGATATTTTTAAATCCTTGCACAAACAAAAAAAAACGCTAGTTAACATTCGTCTTTTGAACTTCATTAACTTCAAATTTAAAATTAAGTACACCAGTGGTAAACACAAAGTACCAAAAAAGAAAACGATTCTTTTAAGATGATTGTGATGACTTTCAAAAATATTTTTTCATAGGATAATCATCATATTTACAAACTCATTTGATTATAGTATATAGCTTATGAGGCGTGTCCTGCTGCAAACAAGATAGACGCCGTACAACATGAGCAGCGTTTTATCTTGGTCTATGTTGATTGCAATTGGAGCAAACCTGTATGCGAGTATATACGGTATTATCTATATAACTCTTTCCTTAAATTTATATTTCGACAATCTTGTGCATCCATTACAAATACATAAAAAAACGCATACTTTGTACAAATTCTTTGCTACCAATAAAATGCCGGATAGGGCTCAGAATGATCTTAAGTGCTCACCGTTACGGATCACAGCCATCTCTCCCATTGCGTGGGTTCGAGTCTCGGGTTGGGCCATTGTGTGTATGTGAGAAAGCTTACCAGTATCTTCTATAGGGTCGGTGGTTCTTAGAGTATTATGAAGTGAATCCAAAATAATCCTGATGAAGTTCTATGAAAGTTCTAAACAATGAAAAGTTTCATATGAATTTCAAAACCGAACATGTACTGGTTCGACAAGAATTGTGACATTGTCGAGATGTCATTTTCCTGTACTCCTTTGAATAATTCACAAGTCGTAGAATAATAGTATAGTCCAAATAATGAGCACTTTCTTTTTTCCACTGAACAATCCAAACTAATGTTTATTGTTGTTTTCTTTTCTTTCAAATAATATCTTAAGTACAATATAAAACACTTCCGCAGAGGTACAACAGGAACACAAGAAATGAGAATGACTCCAAAATAGCAGTGAATCTGATTACTGTTTTATTCTGATATACACCTTTTTACGACTATATTTCGCAACATATCTCACGTGACAGATCTTATTACTAAATTTATCTCGAACTGGCCTTTTCATCTGACCTAGCTCATCCAATGGGGAGTTACAGAATTCTTATAGAACCGTCCAAACCCCATCAACTAATGAGACATTAACTCAAAGTCGTCTAAAGGTCTTATTAAGGGTTTTATTAATAACTATCAACACATACGAAAGGATCTAATTATAGATCCTATAGATTTGTACTCTCTTAACATTCATAAGCAGATCATAATCACTAAGGCAAAATATAACTGAAGATAATCTATACAACCATGAATAGAAATTACAAAAATTAAGTAAAATCGTATACCAGGATTCACAAAAAAAACAAAAAACAAAAACAAACAAACAAAAAAAAAAAACAATAGATAAACATAAGTTAAAATGTTGAACGCACAAATAAATATACATTACCTACCGCTCGGACCATTCACCGTCCACCATCTTGAAAAAATATACATTACAGAAATAATGCTCTGCAAATACACGTATCAACTTAAACACGTTGAGTTTGTAAGAAATATCCTGCTGTGAGGTAATTCGTATTAGAAACAAAAACAAGTATAAAACCAACCACTTGAAAACAAACCTCCATTACTATGGAAGGAAATTCATATCTTTAATTTAAAAATGTAGTAGTAGGAGAAAGTAAGAATCCGAGCTCAACAACCCCCTCCAGACCTCCAAACAAATACAAAATACCTAGGTAACGTAATAGAAAACCTATTGCAATCAATAATTGCGTTAAGAATCCGAGCTCAACAAATACAAAATACCTAGGTAACGTAATAGAAAACCTATTGCAATCAATAATTGCGCTAAGAATCCGAGCTCAACAACCCCTCTAGACCTCCAAACAAATACAATAGAACACCTGTTGCAAAATACCTAGGTAACAGGTAAAATTTAATTACGTGATCTTCCAGAATAAGCAGAATGATATGTCAGACTCAATTTTCCAAATCATTACGTGGCGATTGTGGACTAAATTACGCATTAGAATTCCAGTAAGGTAAGTGGTATTATATAAAATTTTATGTTATATCATACTTCTTTTGATAATCTTTCTCATATTTGCTGATCCTCATGGGTAGAATATCTGTTAACATGTTATCAATAATACGAAATTCACGTATTAAATCGTCCATATTATATTTTACTCCTCGTAGGTAAGATCTTATTTGATCAAGTAGTTTTTTGTAAGTTATAATTGATGTTAAGCAGCCGTGCTTTTTTATCAAAATTTTAGGTTCAACTTTTTTACAAGCTGCTGTAAGAGAAACACCAACACCGGATATGATTAACAAAAACGGGTTTAATGATATACCACTTGAAATTATGCCAGAACTAGTCATTAACAAGGGTAGATATGATATTACTCGAAGTATTTTGTTATAATATTTGTAGCATTTTTTTACGCACCAAAGTTTTTTATGATAATATTTGTAGTATTGTATTAGTGCGTCAACATCCTGTCCTGGAATATCTTTTGAAATATGATTGAAATCAACTATACTTTTTTTCATTATAATATTTGTTCACATAATCTCAGGCTTGATTAAGTAACTAGTTGAGGTGTTTCAGCCACAAATTCCAGACAATACCAATATGACACAGCAGTTAATTTTTTGTCATCTGCTATTAGCATAAAAGTTTCTTCAACATCTTTGTTTAACACAATAGACACAGTTCCAGAGAAATTATCAGTCGAGTGACGCCATGGAAATAATGTAAATATATTAAACTTTGCACTGCTCAACACGGACAATCTATACACACCAGTGACCTCTGCAGTATGTTTGAGAGTGTTATTTTGCGGCGACCAAGTAGACATTCCAGAAGCAACAGTATAAACAATATTTTTAATCTGCTTGTGAGGAATTTTAATCATACTTGTTTTCTCAACAATACTAGGAATTCCACTAATAATATCGTTGAGTTTTGTGTTAATATTATCGAGTGTAATATCAACAGACGGCGGACTTCCAAAAAATTCGTTATTGGTTTTGTTTATGTTTCTGCGAAAATTTAAAAACGTGGTGATGTGATTAGTAAAATCAGTTTTGAACTTGGTGATTTCATTGTTGATATCATCAACATATTTCTTTGTTACAGCATCAAAATCAGATTCTGGTGTTCTAAGATTATTGATGCCATTATTGTTCATGTTGAGAAATGCACGCATTATACCGCCACGCACCGACACGTACTTTGATTCCTGATCATCAACATATTTCTTAGTAGCAGCGTCATTATCCTCAGTTGGGTTTCCAAGGTATGTGATCTTGTTCTGGTTCATAACAATGTTTCCCGTAAATAAATCACCTGCTTTTCTAACATAATCGTTAACTGACCTACCCGAATCTTCTATCTTACCTTGATTATTAAAAGTAACAATATTATTAGCAACTGCAGTAGGATTTCGTACTAGTACATCTGATAGTTGTACATTACTCGTCTTTAATCGTCCTTGTTTGTCCTGGAAAACTACAACTTCATTTGGATCTACACTTGCAACGTTTAACAAATTGTTGATTTCATTTTTGAGCTTATCAAGAGTTGCATACTTGGATAAGTCACCCTGGTAACCTTCTGTTAATAAATCTACTGCTAATGTTCCAAATTTTGTATAGTAGCTCATTATACATACCGTTCTACACAAAATTGTTGGATTAATATAACATAAAATTATACGATGGCGAAGATAATAAACTTTGACACCGAGCGATTGGTGAAGCATAAACATAACAATGAACTTCCAGACTGTCATTATCTTATTGTTGGGCGAACTGGATCTGGTAAAACAAATTTGTTATTAAATCTTTTACTCAATAATAACTTTAACTATGATAAGGTGTATATTTACACCATCAACCCCCAACAAGACAAATACGAGTTACTAAGTGAGTATAATGATAAACTTCGTGATGACCTTGGCATTGGTGATGATATATTTTTGATAAAACAACCAGAAGAACTCGTTCCAGTGAATGAACTCGATTCGTCAGAGCAGAAGATAATCGTCTTTGATGATATTCCGCTAAACAATGAGGAAATGAACAAGATTAGATCATATTTTTCACTATCACGTAATAAAAGATGTAATTCTGTTTATCTTGCCCAAGGTTTTTATAATGTTGATAGGTTTATTAGGCGAAATACGGGTTGTTTCATATTATTTCCCGGACTAGATAATGTGGATGTGAGAAATATTGCAAACGAACAATGTGGTGA